GGATGATTTCTCCCTTGCGATCCTCCCCCTTGGGGTTTTCTCTGGCGGATCCCCCCCCCCCCCCCCCGGTTCTCGGCCGATGATGCGTGGCGCCAGTGGGGGCAAGGGTGGCCTGACCGGAGGGGGATCATCGAATCGGACTTCGGACAGGTGAGGCAGAAGAGGCTCCGATCAGGACAAGCAGGAAAGAATGCCGACGCCCTCCGAGCAAAAGAGCGCCATATGGGCTACCCTGTTCATGAACGAGTCGTTCCCAATCAATGGGAGGGGGGGATTGTATTGGGTATGGTGCCGGCGATAGCTGGCGGGCTGTGAAAAAAAAAGGGAGAAGAGAGGGGCAGGCGAAGGACGGCAGTCCGAGATGAGTCCGTGTCTTTAGGAGGAATAGAACTCCAGAGCCTTTTCGATGTCGGAGATGGCTGGCAGAAGGTGAGCAGCCAGGCCGTTGCGGGTGAGCTCGAAGGTGTGGTGCTGGGTCTGGGGCGGGGATGGGGCAGGGTCGACAGAGCAACGAGGGGAAGGGCGTCAGCACAGGGAGGGGGCGTGCGGGCGTGCGGGCGTGCGGGCGTGCGGGCGTGCGGGCGTGCGGGCGTGCGGGCGTGCGGGCGTGCGCAAAGAGCACATGGGGTGAAGGAGGGCAACGCACAGCTTCAGAGGCGTCGGGGCTCAGAACAGCGAGCTGCACGAAGGAGGTGGTCAGATCGGCATTGCTACCGCCCGGCGAGGTGGGGCCTTCACCATCGAGGGCGGCCTGCGAGGACCAGGTGACGGCGTCCGTACGCCAGCTGATGGACTTCAGGGAAGGACCCATGAGGTTGGTGGATGTCGAATTGGACATGGGGAAGGACAGGGGGGGGGGAGAGGGAGGGAGGTGCGAGTAGGGTGCAAGAGGAGAAGGAGGATGCTTGCTCGGTCGCCATCCGGCTTTGGGGATGCTGCTTCGGCACCATTTCAGGAGCACGAGCCCCCGTTGCGGTGGGGGGGCGGGGAAAGGGGACGCTGCGCTCCGGTGCCCTGTCCCGTACTTGCTCCGGCGGTCGGCCCTGGGGAAATAACAAAGCATCCTTTCGTTGGCACTCCGCCATAGCCCACCGTCCCCAAACCTGAGATGATTCTCTGCGGATAATCGGTTTTCTGTTCCGGGTCCTGTGTGTTGTCTTCGGCCTGCTGCTCGTGCGGATGTGCATAAATGTGTATGTGTGTCTGTGTCTGTGTCTGTGTGTGTGTGTGTGTGGACGTGCCTGTGCGCGGGGGAGAGGGGTGGGATGGAGGACAAAAGGGTGCCCACCCCCCGATGCGTCGGCGCCCACCCCGAACATTCGCGCTCTCCTGAACCCTGCTGCCCTTCTCCCCTCACGAGTGATCCTCTTGCTCGCGCATTGCCGCCCTCGCCATGCCCATTTCGATACCAGCCACCCTTTTCCAGAGGTGCGTCTCCCCCCTGTTAATGTGGCTTGCGCTCACTGCCTCTCTTTCCACCTGGCTTTACATATGCCCTCTTCGGTGTCTTGTCTTTCATCTTCGGACCCTCTCCTTCAGGGTGCTGTGTTTGTGTTCTCTCCCCTTCCCTCTCTCCCTCTCTCACACACACACACACACACATGTTTGCCCTGACTAGCGATCCGGCGATCATCGAGTTCATCGCTTTCCACTTCTCCCAAAGGGCCCAGACCGGAAGCAGCGCATCCGGCATATCGGAATCGCCAGTGGTCGCTGTCTTGGACTCCTGCCGGATCCTCATCCGGCCTGGGTCTGAGCAGTTGGTCCACCAGGTGGTGCAGGATTTCATCAATTCCAACACCCACACCGACGAGGCGGACCTGCCACCGGGCGAGGACAAATAATTGAATACCAACAAAAAGGGGGGCCTCATCACCCCGACAGACTTTCTCTCCTCCTCGTGCGCGCGCACCGGAGCAAGGTGCAATCCATGTTGCTGTCAGAGGAGGAGGGGGAGGGGGGGGGGGACACAAAATGATGTACAAAAGATTTTGTATATTTTTTGGTTCTTCGCCGGGGAGGGGGGGGGAGGGGGGCAGAGAAGGAGGAATCGTGTGGGCCAACTTGTCCTCTTTGTGGGGGCACAAATGTACACACGGGCGCACACGCACGCACACACGTTTATGGGGGAGGGGGGGGGGGGGGAATGCGAGTGCGGATGTACGGGGGGGGGGGGGGGGCACATTTAGAGGAGGAGCTTCTCGATCTCGATCTTGATGTTGTGAATCTGGTTCTTCAGCTCGGAGGAGTCGTTGGCGGTGACAGAGCAGGCGATGACCGGACGGGTGACACCGCAAGCACGGCCGAGGGCCTGCTTGGAGGCAACGAAGACGTAGGGGACGTTCTTGTCCTCGCACAGGAGGGGCAGGTGGAGGAGAATCTCCAGGGGCTCGGCGTCAGCGGCGAGGACGATGAACTCCGAGGTACCACGGTTCAGGGTCTTGGTGGCTGTGGTTCCCGGAGTCCCACAAGGACACAGGGGCACACAGGGGCGAAGAGGCGCGAGGCGCGGGTCAGACAGGGCGGCAGCAGGGGGAATGGCGCGTGCATGTGCGTGTGACGCATCGGGGGGGGGGGGGGGGGGGGGGGGGAGAGAAGGGGACCATGTGTGGACGTACACTCGTTGGCGCCCTTCTTGAGCTGCATGTAGTGGGTGGCCTGCTGGACGAGGTCCAGAATCTGGGCGGAGAGGTTGGCCTCAGCGAGGGGGAAGACCTTGGAGTTGGCGGCAGACTGGGCGGTGTGTTTTCGTCCCCGGGCGACAAAAGGGGAGACATGCGGTCAGAGGGGGCACGGTGGTGCTCTCCGCAGGGACAGAGGAGGGAGCAGCATGGGCGGGAGCAGAGGGGAGGCAGGAAAGGGAGGGACGAGGCGTACCATGATGAAAACCGGGTGCGAAGGGAGGGCAAGGAGAGGGAGGGGGGAGGGGAGTGGCGAAGAGGGATAACCTCGTCAGCTTCACTTTGTGAGACAGAGATCACAATCTGTCAGACAAGGGGACCGGGCACCTGGCGGAGGTTCCACGGCTGCGAGGGCGCTCTTATACTTGTCCCCGGGCCGCCTGGGCCTGGTTGGGCCTCCGTCTTCCTGTCCCCGCCCGCCCCCCGCCCTCACCCCTGCACCGCCCGATTGTGTGGGTGGGGAGGGGGCGGGGGGGGGGGGGGGGGGCGGGCACCGTCTGCGGTCGTACATGCGCGAAGGTGCGGCCAATGCCGGTGGCTCCCCCCCCCCTCCCCGCATGGGCGTCCCCGCGCTCGGCTCGGCCTGGCGCGCGTGCGCCTCCTCCTGCACCGAACACGGCTGCCGCACATGGGAGACGACATAATGAAAAAAAAGCGACACGAGCCGATATGACGGAAATCGGCCCTAGCCTTTTCCCGCAAATAACAGTGGATACCCGC